GAAAGATGTTCCAGTAAATGTACCAAGTTTTGTGGGCAACCTTAAACAAGACTCTCTACAATGCCCATACGCATATGCATACACAGAAGTAAAGAAACAAAATCCACAATGACACTGTTGTTTCACTTTCACCATTCACAGGTCCGCAACTTAGTGCTTCACATTCACAGTATTCAAAAGATGAGTGTGACAAAAGATGCTTACTGAGTAAAGTGTGATTAAGCTGACAAGCTGGTTTAAATATCCAGAACAGAAGATACCACTCCAAAATGTGATTCAGAATCAGAAAGATATTTAAGATTTAAAATGTGATGAGTTTAATTCCTCAATTTTAGGCTGACCCCACTCCCGCAACAATCTTCCCCCCAACAGTCACTACTAATTTCCCAAGAATTTTATTACTCAAAAAGGAATGTGCCAAATAGGAAACAAAAGCATGTCAAAAAAGATGATGATGTAATGACCTAGAAAAGCAAACCAACCTTATGAATAGAGGTCTCACACAAATCTCCGATCGACATCGAGTTGCATGAGCAAAGTTCCTCCTTTGATAAATCATGACATGCCCTGGAAGAGATGAAACAAATTATTATGTATTTCTAAATGGTGGATACAAGCTATCATAAGTCAAGATGTAACAAACCACCTAAAGTGTATGACACTTGACAAATGCTAGTTCACCTAATCAACCACACACCAACAAAAAGATGCGAAAAAAAAAAAACAATAGCACGCACAACTGGCTCAAGGAAGAACCATCTTGCCATAATTGTAGAGGGCCACAATATTTCAGGACTACTATCAAACAGCAACAAGAAGATAGTTGAAAATGCAAGGAGACAACATCAGATTATATGCAACATGCAGCCTGTTCTCTGATTAATGCATCACTAGACATATCTGTCCACTTTATCAACATTGTACAATGACATATTAACTCCCAGGCCAACATGTGGCATATAAGATTACAATTACCGAGTCAACTTACTTTTTAACTCAAGAGTTTAAAGATCATAATAGAAATTCAGGTCAATTGGATATTATGGAAGCCTCAGATATTGATGAAAAAAAAAATTTGGGAGCTTTAGGTAAAAAAAACTGGATCAAGCTACAGAAGCCAAGATTCTCAAATAATTTTTGAGCGGGTGACCTTCAAATATATGCATCATGATCTTTGTAGTCAGTTTTTTTTTTTTTTTTTTTTTTGGACAAAGATCTTTGTAGTCAGTTGCTCGAGGGAAGTCTTCATATATCTTAGAATTTACAGAGGCCACTCGAGTTTTTAGGCCAGCATGTGAAGAGAAAATTTTATTAGACAACAGCAAAGAGAACAATTTGTCACATTTTGAAGGTCACCTCAATCCTTGTTAAGGTAATTGAATGGCATGTGTTTTCTTTTCTTTGTGGTAGTAGTTTAAGGTATTTTATGTTCTACATCCTTTTGGCAAACAGAAGTTGCTTCCATAAGATTACATGCTTGCTTTATCTTATCTTTCATGTTTTCGGTTTCTTATCTCAATATACACATTTGCATACAGGTTTATATCTGACTATCTGAGACATCAACAAGAGTTGAACCCCCAACCCAATTACTCACCTTTAATTGATGTGATGAAGGGATGCAATATGTTTGGATCAACCTTAACTTCAGTTCATATCTAGTAAAATAAATATACGAATACGAGTGAAGAAAAACTCCCCCAGAACTAGTCTCCTTCCATCTTGCTTCCTTATTTTCTTCTTCATCTCTCTCTCTCATTATCTTGAAATTAAAAAAAAAAAAATTCATTGTGTAATTCCAGGTAGCTGTGCTACACAACCAATATGGCCTTCCTAGGGATGGACAGACTTCTGCAATTGTTGTGGACCTTTGGTGTCTAAAAATCATTTTTCAAGTAAGTGTCATTCTTTAGATGCCAGTTTAGAAGAAGTCTCCTTGGAAAGCTCTTTGAAATAGACTTCTTGTGCAGCTCAGTGCATTTTAGGTACCAACATAGTTGTCAAATTGCGATTCATATCGTGAATTGAAATCCTAAATTTGGGAATCGTGAATCGTATCAAATCGTGAATCGTAAGATTCGACACAAAATTTGAACAAAAATAAAAAATAATACTACATATTTAAAGTAGACAAAATATTAAATATTGAACATTATTACGTCTAAAAATAATCAATTGACATAATCACGTCATCTAAATAGAAAGACACTAGTCTTTTACTTCATTTATATCTTTTGTTAAACCATTTTCAAATTCAACAACTTGAAAAAAAAATTCATTAAAGAATCATAGTTATTTAAGAACCAAAATAGTATCACCCAGTATAGATTAAATTACAAACTTGAATGAAAAAAGAACAAATAAAAAAATTGATTGGGAGAAAAAAAACAGGTCTACATTTTGAAACAACAAATTAGAACCTAACAAACTACCCATAAAATAATTGAGAGCAAAAATTAATTGACGATGCGAGAGCGTTAGCCGTGACCTTTAGCCTTAGACAACACACGGCGAGTTTTAGACAACGTCAGAGACAGAACGAGTAAAGAGGTTGAGTTTTTATTAGGGCGTGGGTTCCTATACAAACAAAATGACGTCGTTTTACTGTTTCACAGACAAAACGACGTTCTCTTACAAAAAATTGGGGTTTTTTGTTAAAAAAGTGATTGAATCGTACAATTAGTGAGATATGAATCGAATCGTACGATTCAGGTGCGATTCAACTCTAAAATGATTCTCATATAAGATACGAATCGTTTTATACCTGTATCGAACTGAATCGTACGATTTTGATAACTATGGGTACCAATATGCAAAGATCAAAATATCGATTTGAAACGGTCAAAACATCTAAAACAGTTCCGTTTCCAAGGAGACCAAAATGAATCAGTGATGGAATCAAAATTCTAATACTTCAAGGCATTCTATAATGTTTCAAAATATTTTGTTATAATTTAATACATTTGTACAATTTTTTGGAATGTTTCAAGATATTTTGGTATAATTCAATTAACGTTTTGAAAAAATAATTTTTAAATTTTTTTTTTCAAAACGTTTTCAAACACGTCGAAACATATTCATTTTCTACTTGACTAAAACAATGCACTGAAACAAAATTTTAATCTTTGCCAATATGAAACTTCCAGCTTTGTCTTGTGCAACCTCTATTTTCCTAGCAATAGATCAAATTTACAACAACCGAGTATTATTACCTGGAATGGTCTTATACTTAAGACTTTCAGAACAGACTTGAAATTTGCAAAAGGAGACCAAGCACTGTTTCCTCTTCCTTCCTTTTTCTATTACTTTTTTACTTATTTCAGATTTTTCAAGTCAATTTTTGGTTTTAGATGATTCATTATGGTCAATGTTTAATATCAACTAAATAATTAACAGATACAAAAAAAAAAAAAAAATTAAGGGCAGGGAAATTACAATGACACCAAACATATAGACCACCCCCAAAAATGTCAAAAATGGCGCAACCTCAACATGAAATTTTGATTTTTTGTTAAAAAAAATTAAAAAGAATGACTTATCACGCTTCAGATATAGTCAAAATTGGTCAAAGTTAGGAAATGAAAAAACAACAACATTGGCATTTAAAATACTATTTTCGTTGATGTCATCTTTCTCGATATCAGAGGAGATCTTGCTGTTACAACTTTAAAGAATGTCATGATTGTCCCCTTTTATATTTGCCAACGTGGTGGATGCAAGCAATAAGAGGCACTCACCAAACAACCTCTTGCCGCTAAAATTTTATTCCGGACGTACTTTCTATAAATTCCATCTATTAGAATCACATCTCACTGCAAGGGGCCCCTACAAAACAAGCCCTCTGTTACGATCTTTTGGAAACCTTAAAAACTAATAAATTAAGGTGACCCCTTAGCTTTTGATTCAAAAAATTGTGGTGGTCTACGCTCCCAATATTTTTCAATTTNACAAAACAAGCCCTCTGTTACGATCTTTTGGAAACCTTAAAAACTAATAAATTAAGGTGACCCCTTAGCTTTTGATTCAAAAAATTGTGGTGGTCTACCTATGAAAGCTCCCAATATTTTTCAATATATTTCCATAGGTCATTTAGCTATCAATTATGTGGGGTCATTTGAACATACATAATATATATACATGGGTACATGAAAATAGTAGACAGTGCTCCATGCTTCAAACAAGTAATAAGCAAGGATTCTAACAGAGTGAAAGACATTNGGGGTCATTTGAACATACATAATATATATACATGGGTACATGAAAATAGTAGACAGCGCTCCATGCTTCAAACAAGTAATAAGCAAGGATTCTAACAGAGTGAAAGACATTATGTTGGCTGCAATTAACTTCACTGTATATGCTTCAGAACATAAAACTGTCTCCTATATTGTCGTAATATAATGTGATGAGGCAATTGACATAATGAGAGGCTATGAAAGACCAACAAATGCACACCCATGCCCAAATGCACACCAATTAGTTGTCCTTAGAAAAGAATGTAATCCTCTACAACAAGGTCAAGATACAATGCCAGGATACATTTACAATTTTAAATATTTCCAGAAAATGACAAGCTTCTTGGGGAAAGATATCTAAAGCACCATGCCAAATGATGCATTCTAAGCAACACAATGATAATAAAAGGCTACAGAATTCTAAGAATAATCATTAAAAAATGGATATAAATAAAGTACGATATCCACATCCCACTAGAAAAGCACATTAAAACTAGATAAAACAGGTTGGGACCATGAATTACATTCTTTATCTTTCAGGGTCACCCAAAAAAAATAGGTATCAAATGGCTTGAAAGTGCAACTGTAGTCCTCTATGGAGATGGAGCTTGATTTCGACCCCTCTTTCATAGGTCATACTCATAAGATCAAACAAGCTCATTCCCTTAAAATAATATTCACTCAAAACTACTCTTTAACATTTTTTCAATAGAGGTAGTCATGAGCTAAATTAGAAAGAGAGGCAAAATTAAGTGAATAGAAATGTTAGTACCTTCGCCGTGTAGAACATGCAACGCACAATTCAACAATCTTTTTGGACACAGATGATGGAGAAGAAACAGCCTCTGATGCAGAAATGCATATATCTTTACAGGCAACCGTTGCAGAAGGATTAAAATCCTCATCCGTTGTATATTTCTTTGTTTTAGATGGTATGGCTAAACTGCCACTTCCCAAATCAACATCACCATCGTTTACCACTACCCTTTTCACAGCAACTAGAGTTTCTGTAACCATGGCACCACTCTTGGAGGCTTTGATACCCTCTTCATCAGAAGGCTTATAAAGTTCCTCTGTACAACTATGCGTCCTGCTCGAGTATGGCAATTCTACTTCAACATGATTTCCGTTATTTTCTGCATGAGATCCTTCGGATGCTATATCAACACATTCTTCTCTCAATTTTTCTTCCAATTTTCCACTGCACTCATCATCCCCATCGTCCACTTGCTTGGAACCACTACTTCTGTCATCGCCGCCATCAACTTGAGACAACTTGTCCGGCCTTTCCAGCTCCTCATCAACATCTATGTGCCAAAACAGAAAAGCAGACAATAACAAAAGTACATATAACTGAAATGCAACTAAATGAAAATATTTAATCAGCTAAAACAATCCCATATAAAATGGACAAGTTAGTTTCTTGGGTACAATTGCAAACTATGGGGAATGGAGATGTCACATTTGCTCTCCAAGTATGAGAACAAGTGTGGCGGATAACAATTTTGAGAGAAGCAGAAGAGGGAGAAAGAGAGGAACTCAATTACCTGCTGTAATATCCCTTTTCTGTAGCTTAAATAAAGACTTGTAAGTACGAGCATCCATCCTCTTTCTTTTCCTATCGACAGGTTTCAAATCATGTTTCTCACTCTTGTTAACTTTCCTAGCTTCCATTGTCAATTTTTTAACATTCGTCTCCCTTTTTTCCTTTTGCTTAATGCCTGATGAAACCGATCTTATATCAGACTTCTTTGACCCTGAAGAACTTGATGAAATGTTTTTCTTACCCCTGTCCGACCTTTTCAAAGGACTTGGCATCTTATGTTTCTGAATTCTCTCAAATTTCTTTTTAACTGGGGGCGTGGTTGGCGTCCGCTTCTCGAGTCTCTCAGACTTCCGCGTACTTGATGGGCTTGAGGTGATTTGTTTCCTCGATGATGTTTCCCTGGATGATCTTCTTAAACCAGGGGTATTAGTTGCTCCAAAGGCCGAAGTAGAGCATCCTTTTCCACTGACGAACCTTTTCCCTGAACTACTGCTCTCATCTTCCTTACTTTTGCGAGTAGATCGAGTATCATTTGCCATCCTTCCAGCTGTCGAAATAAGGTAAAAACTCTACCCCATTATATCATCAAAAAAATGAAAAATAAAGAAAAGGTTATGACTCAAATTTGCAATGACAACCATTAAAGATGTTGCCAAAAACACACACACACACACACACAGAGAAGAAAAGCATCCCTTGAACAATGCATGTCAAAGGCTTCATAATTACCACCAATAATTCAATTANGTTATGACTCAAATTTGCAATGACAACCATTAAAGATGTTGCCAAAAACACACACATACACACACACAGAGAAGAAAAGCATCCCTTGAACAATGCATGTCAAAGGCTTCATAATTACCACCAATAATTCAATTAAGAGTATAAATCATATATCCAATAAATAGCTGTACTTGCAATGCGTCTAAGGAACTAAAAGCCAAGTATCAATTCTAACAGTCAACAGTAGTTCCCAAGAATATAGCTTCATGTTTTAGCCAAATGTACAATATAGCTTCATTCAGACAAAATGATCTAAACTTGGTTTGTTCAACATCATGGTCAACTCCAGGTAGGGTAAATGATCGGTTTTCCCAACCATATAAGGACTAGTATGAACTCATTCAGAACGCACACACCCAATCACAATTGAAATTTTCCTCGAGACTTGTTCTTTGAATAATTTCCATTACAACTCACAATTATAAGACTAGGCACCAAGGATCAAAATTTTATTTCGGTCAACCTCGGAAGAGAAACGTATCCGAAACACAATGGAAACTAGAAAAAAAAATTGGAAATGCGTGAATACAAACCATAACATAAATTAAAATCTCATTACTATAGCAAATAAGCTTTAAAATATATTATTTATAGTCTAAAGTCTAAACATCTATCAATACTAGATGATGCCAATTTGGAGAACAAAAATAAAGATTAATGTGTAATGTGTTGTGGCTATAGTGACCCTGTTAATCATCCATTCTTGTATTCCCCTGTTGTTTTATCTTTGTGGAAAAAATTGTTTTCATTGGTTGGATTGTGTTGGGTCACTCCTTGATCCTTTTCTACCTTGTTTGGGAGGATTTTAAAGGATTTGGAAAACCAAAGAAATGAGTTACATTTAGGAATTGTGCGATTCTTGCTATGTATGTATATTCTGTTGTTGGAAAGCAATGCTTGGATTTCTAAAAACTAGTGCAAGGTGGTAGGAATCGTTTAGCCGGATGGGTGTGGGCCTAAATCACTAAAAGTTTTAAGAGAATATCACATTGGCCGGATGGAGAGCTAATTGCGATTTATAGTCTTGGACATCCTAAGTCAGCTGCCATTAGGCTCCTGTTTGCATTTCACTGTTTTTGCACCTCGTCGGATGAGGATTTGATGTACTTATTATTAATAAAAAAATTCTTGTACTAGCTCTTTGTTTTGATGTACTTATTATTAATAGATGTTTACATCCTATCAAAAAAAAAAGAAACAAAAAAGTACCACCCGCCATTTATCCATAGGACCTACAAGAAATTAGCAACAAAACACACTTGCTCCCAACTAATTCAAGCTGTACAACTCACCCTTAAAATTTTCTTGTGTATTGTACCAATTTTCCAGTTTCATCTCATCACCATTCAACAACCAACTCTCGTCAAGGAACTCAGTTCATATACGGATAATTTCAATGATCCCGACACATAACAAAGTTTACACATTTTAAACCTAATGTGAGAATATAAAATAGTGACTCTGAAATTGAGCGTTCATCCGCTAACCAAACTTTTATAACAAAACTGTTTTTACCATACTACCACGCAATGTATCTACAAGACAAATATTTCGAACTACAATAAGCTTCATCGAGAGAACAAAAAGGGCATATATTTTAAGACAATGTACAACCATGGCCGGCTCAACAGTATATTCAAAAAATCATGGGCTTTAAGCCCTACATATTAAAAAGGCCCCAAATTTTAGAGTTCTACAATGAGACGTAGATCAATGATTAAAACTCATTATAATTTAGCTTAACAAAAAACCTCCTGAAACTCTCATCTTATGATTTCAATTTCAGAAAAACAAAAGGAATTAAGACTCACACATAGACTGTCATACAGAAAGAGAGACAGATAGAGAACCTGGGATGCGTGTGGCTTCTNTTAATAAAAAAATTCTTGTACTAGCTCTTTGTTTTGATGTACTTATTATTAATAGATGTTTACATCCTATCAAAAAAAAAAGAAACAAAAAAGTACCACCCGCCATTTATCCATAGGACCTACAAGAAATTAGCAACAAAACACACTTGCTCCCAACTAATTCAAGCTGTACAACTCACCCTTAAAATTTTCTTGTGTATTGTACCAATTTTCCAGTTTCATCTCATCACCATTCAACAACCAACTCTCGTCAAGGAACTCAGTTCATATACGGATAATTTCAATGATCCCGACACATAACAAAGTTTACACATTTTAAACCTAATGTGAGAATATAAAATAGTGACTCTGAAATTGAGCGTTCATCCGCTAACCAAACTTTTATAACAAAACTGTTTTTACCATACTACCACGCAATGTATCTACAAGACAAATATTTCGAACTACAATAAGCTTCATCGAGAGAACAAAAAGGGCATATATTTTAAGACAATGTACAACCATGGCCGGCTCAACAGTATATTCAAAAAATCATGGGCTTTAAGCCCTACATATTAAAAAGGCCCCAAATTTTAGAGTTCTACAATGAGACGTAGATCAATGATTAAAACTCATTATAATTTAGCTTAACAAAAAACCTCCTGAAACTCTCATCTTATGATTTCAATTTCAGAAAAACAAAAGGAATTAAGACTCACACATAGACTGTCATACAGAAAGAGAGACAGATAGAGAACCTGGGATGCGTGTGGCTTGTGGCTTCGAAGAGAAGGCGGCGAGAGTCTCTGAGACTCGAAGAGGAGAAGGCGCTAGGGATCAATCGACTGAGAAGAAGAAGAAAGAGGCGACAGTCTCTGAGACGACGACGACGACGAGGAAGCTGTAGGAATTNTCAACAACCAACTCTCGTCAAGGAACTCAGTTCATATACGGATAATTTCAATGATCTCGACACATAACAAAGTTTACACATTTTAAACCTAATGTGAGAATATAAAATAGTGACTCTGAAATTGAGCGTTCATCCGCTAACCAAACTTTTATAACAAAACTGTTTTTACCATACTACCACGCAATGTATCTACAAGACAAATATTTCGAACTACAATAAGCTTCATCGAGAGAACAAAAAGGGCATATATTTTAAGACAATGTACAACCATGGCCGGCTCAACAGTATATTCAAAAAATCATGGGCTTTAAGCCCTACATATTAAAAAGGCCCCAAATTTTAGAGTTCTACAATGAGACGTAGATCAATGATTAAAACTCATTATAATTTAGCTTAACAAAAAACCTCCTGAAACTCTCATCTTATGATTTCAATTTCAGAAAAACAAAAGGAATTAAGACTCACACATAGACTGTCATACAGAAAGAGAGACAGATAGAGAACCTGGGATGCGTGTGGCTTGTGGCTTCGAAGAGAAGGCGGCGAGAGTCTCTGAGACTCGAAGAGGAGAAGGCGCTAGGGATCAATCGACTGAGAAGAAGAAGAAAGAGGCGACAGTCTCTGAGACGACGACGACGACGAGGAAGCTGTAGGAATTTTAGGAATTTTGCGCACAAATTAAGATGTATATATTTTTTAAAGCACCTTTGCATGTTGGTCGGGTCGGATAGGAATGTAAAATTCTTACGGGTATTTCACAATTCTACCAGAAAAATTAAAAATTCTATCATTAGCTAGCCGATTTTTACGAAATTGATCGGATGTGGAAAATTTTGAACACTCTTTGCCTGAAAGATTAAGTCAATAAAATAAAATTTAAAATTTAGGTCGAAAAATATAGTTCAGCGCATACATATACATTTTAAATTATACAGGAAAATGGTAACACTTGAATAAAAAAATATAATAAATATATCTCTTCTATAAATAAAAACAAATCAACACACATTTTCTATTTTTCTCAAACTTGATTTTGTTTCCATTTAAATATTAAAACACCAATTAATTAAATTATTTACTGTCAAAAAAATANAATTAAATTGTTTACTTTCATAAAGGATTCACAATAAAAAGTAATTAATATCAAAAAAAAATTAATAAAATTATTATTGAAAAAAATAAAACACAATAAAATAGTAGGTGAACGTTGCATACATAAACAAGTTAAGGATCATCAAAAAATAGTAAAATAATTCAATAACAAGGAACTACAAATGTATACTAATAGTCGATTATGTAATACCACAATTTTTATAAACAACATACACAACACATAAAAAAAAATATAAAAACAGTAATGAAACAATAGATTGTATTCAAAAAAATGCGGGTCAAATAAGAGAAAAGAAAGATAAATAGATGTGCAGATTTGTTTGCTAAAAAATGTGTAGTTAGTCAAGATGATTTATATATATTTACAATTTCTATGAATTATACTATTGAACAGTTGTACGCAGATAACATGTGTATTAAATAATACATATGTAATATTTAATATTTCTTAGATGACTAAATTACTAAAAAAAAATTATGTGACACCACGTTATAACATTTAACATATTTATTATGATAGTACCTTATAACTATCTACACATGTATATAATAAAGTAGAACGAATTTGAATTTTGAAGACAAAGAGTGGTTAAGATTGTTTTGTGACCAAAAAAAGCATCATCTAACGGACGACGTTATCCCAAAATGTCTTGAGCTATTGATGTCTCAGATCGTTTTGATCCAACGTACTACATTAGCTCTTTTGAAACATTTTTGCTGCTCAAAATTTATAGTTTTCAAAAATTGATATTTTAAAATTTAATTCCCTCAAATCTTTTCCTTAAATCAAGTAAATATCTCTCTCTCATTCCCCTGTATCTGTTTCTCATGCTCAATTCACGCAAAACCTATCAACTTTTTATAATATTTTTCTCTA